TTTACACATGTATGTTTTTCTCCTACACTTCCACTCACCATAACAACTATTGGCCTACGAATCGATATCTCCTCACATGAGTCAGATGAAAAATTTACAGGTGTCTCTTTCTTCGCAGATACCTCTGTACGCCTAAATATATCAAATATGACATTTCTAACAAGATCATGTTGATATTTGAATTCTGAAAACCCCTTGCAATAAATAGCATGCTCCCCGAATGTATCCAAGTACACCTTGCAGCAAACAAGATAAACCTCATCAACGGAAAATAAGGGAGTCATAAGCCGGTATTTAAGGATGGTACGGTACTCTATCGGAGACATATGTTGGCCGAGACCGTCAATAGAGATGAATAACAAGGAGAAAATCTTAAGTATGTGTTGTTTGCAAACAATCAAAAACTGCTTTTTGTCTTGTGATCATGTCAAACTTTACTTCTATATCCTGAACATTTTTACTAAAAAAAGACATTTTTCAAAATGTTCTGTTCTTTAGGATAGACGGTGTCATTTCTAGTAAAATTGCTAAAGTAAAATTCTGAAATCACATTATTATGACAATCCAAAATATATTAAAATCAAAGTCTATACCGTGCACTCCACTGTTGATATTCTATTATATATCATTTAAAAATAATAATATATCAAAAATATAACATGTTGTACAATATCAGTAAATGTTTAATATTAATTTTTAATTATTTCCTTATATAATATCAGTAAATGTTATATATATATATATATATATATATATATATATATATATATATATATATATATATATATATATATATATATATATATATATATATATATATATATATATATATATAAGAGTAGATTTTTATTGAAATTTAACTTTTATTTTAATCATCTATAAAATAACAACTATGAATAATTGTGATGTCCTGATCGTGTAAAGAAATTTACACTAACATTGAATAGTAATTAATCTATATATATAATTATTTTTCTTATATTTCTATTTTAATATATTAAAATTTATATAAAATAGAAGGCAGAAGAGTAACAAATTGTGCCGCAACTCCTTTTTGGATGAAAAAGTCAACCCTCCTTAAAATTATGTTCATAGGTCTACGAGATACAACATTGTTATTCATAAGCCTTTGAACGCCCTGTAAAATGTTAATTGTTTTTGGTGCTAGGAAACCAAAAGTGTCAAAGGCAAGTGATGAAAACATGTTGATTGTCAGAACATGTTTTCTTATGTCTAGCCATTTTACTTGAATCAACTTTGAGAGTTGTATGTCTTATAGTAAAATCTCCAGTCTTCAGTCCCATTAGTGGAGAAACTCTAATCAAGTTTCAATTGGTCTAAGTGTCGATCCTCACTCATGTGGATCAGTCAAGAAATTTACATGTGGTTCTTTCTTCGCTAATATTTCGGCCCACTGAAATATATCAAACAGATCATCCCTTACAATGTCATGTGGGTATTAGAAAGTCTGAAAGCCCCATGCAATGAATTGTTTGTATTCTTGTCAAACTTTACATCCATGTCCTTAACAGTTTTACTAAAAAGTGCACTCACCAAAATAATATTTTGATTTATGAGGGTCTTTTTTCTTGCTAGTGAAACTATTAAGGTCAAAATTTGAAATCTTAGCCCTAAGACCATTCAAAGCTCTATCAAAATTTGAGTTAATACAATATACTTCATTGTCTCCCAATATATGATTATGTAACACCAAATATTGGGCCCTAGAAGTCACAAAAGCGCATGAGGCAGAGTCTAATGCCGATTGCAAACCCAATTCACTATCTCTAATAGGTAAAGAAGAAACTCTTCATTGAAGGTCCTTGAAGAAAGGAACTCCACCAACCACAAAGTCTTCAACTGTCCTTTGTAACTATTTATCAAAGCAAATAGTTACTTCCTCCATATGATTAGGTCAAAAACCAATTTGGCAATACTCATCTAGGATGAAGTAGAAGAAAGTCACTCTAAGGATTCCTTAGTTGTGGTAGAAGATGCATTATCCTAATAGCCCTAGAAGCTCTCTTCATGGACAACTCTTTGATAAAGTTATCATACTTTATCATCTTGACTAACAGCCCCTCCAAGAAACTTCATCCTCAACATCAGTCTCCCAATATTCGATAGAAACAACTCCTCATGAAGTTTACTACCATCACTTGAAAGCCAAAAAATTACAGTCTTACAAATATTCAATTTGAGACCTAATTCTAGACATGTATCATAAATGATGTCAAGAACTTTAACCACCTCCTATAAATCTCCTATAATAGCTGCATCATCAAGATACTAGACATGAAGAAGAAGCATATTATTGTCTCTAACCTGATAAATGAATGGGATAACTAAGAGTAAAAAATAGTAACATTAACGAATCACTTTGTTACATTCCAATAGCTAACATAATATGTTCATCTCTAAGGTGCAACTACCGAATATAACAAACTGTAAAACTCTTTATATTTCAAAAAATCTAATACTATTGCATGTTTAAGAAGAATTTGAGACCAATAGTGAATTTGAATTTAAAAATTTTAGTTATGAGTCAGAAAAAATAATTTTGCAAAGCATTTTTTAATTTATTTTTCTTATACAAAATTAGTCATTTTTAAGTAGCAAAGTTTCATGTTTCTTGGTTCGTAATAGTTGGTCCTTCCCAACAGCTTGGCAGGACCTTTTTCCTTTCTTAGAGGTAAGAACAAAAGACATTTCTCCTTCAGTTGACTGTCTCGATTATATGTAATGGAAAGATGCTAACAACGGGAACATGTCCTTAAATATTAGTTCAAGCATCAAAAGCTCCAAACCTTCCCTTGGGCGACTTCAATTTGGAAAAATACTTGAAAGCAACAACTCTATATAAATATAACTCCTTATTTCCTAATATAAATGTCGTTTCAATAAATAAATTTTGTTTTTAGATAAATATCATTTTAATTTTAAATATAGACTTAATTTTTTTTCAACTGTACCCTCTCTATTTTTATTTATAAAAAATTAAATAATTAATATATCTAATATGTTATACAAATTAAATATATTAATTATTCAACAAATTTTAAAAATAATTTTTTCTTATATATAAAACTAGATGAAATATTTTTTAATTCTTAATATAGACACTATTTTTAAAATATTAGTAAATTAGTTTAATAAAAAGTCATGTTTTTTTAAACAATTTTATTAATTAGTATTATTTTAATAATTAGTATTAAAAAATCTTAAATAACGATTATCTTAAAACGGATGAATATGCATATAAAAAAATATTATTTAATTATTTTTCTCAGCTATTCTCTCTGTTCTTAATTATAAATAAAAATAATATTAAAAAATTAATATATTTGAAATAAATATTGAATTAAATATATTAAGTATTTTAATTCACTTTTATAATTAACGCATATCTGAAACAACCGGCTGAAAATCATCAAAACAATGAAGTCGCCATCGAACGTCTTTTATCCCACATGTAGGGAAAGGTAAACATCGAGAAAACCTGATGAGGGAGAATCACGGTCTTGCGACCGAGAGATCGGGTAAGGGAGTCTGTTACGCGAGGGGAAGGTATTAGCACCCCACACGCCCGTAGTACTCTACGGTATCCACTCTTGTTATATGTCTTATGGGTGTGTTTAATCTATGCTTACTGTCTACTGTTGCAAAGGGGAAATGCATGCAAAAGAAAGGAGAAAAAGGATGTAGGGAAAATAAAATTGTGCTCGCCTGGGCCCTACCCCAGTGCCTACGTATCCTTTTTAAGGAATCAGAGCTACCGTAGTTCGGCTCACATGTTTTGTTTGTTTTGTGTTTATTTTATGGACGAAGTTAATTCCGCCTTCTGCCGCAGCTCGACCTTTGGAGACTTATGCGTTGGCATAGAAGTAAATTAATCATGTCCTTAGCTGAAAAGGGTTTAAAAGAAAAGGTGCTCGAGCGCACAAAAGATTTGAGTTGGTTTATATTTTTGTTGTAGATGATGACTGATTGACCTCAAGAGAGAGATATTAGCCATTTTTCTACTTAGTCATGAAAGGAGTTTTTTGAGAATTGAACCACGTCTATGCTTGAGATGAAGAACAATAAGATCGAGAAGAGACCCGTTTATCGTTTCTCGTACTAAGCAAAAGCATGATTCTCATCAATAGTTTTAAAGTGTTTTGAATTTTGAAAGAAAATAAGTTTTAGTTTTAGGTGTGTATGTTTAAAGAGAAAGAAAAGTCAAATGAGACTAGCTTACTTCTAAACCTAATGTTATCGTGCGTGGTTAGACCTAAAGTTAGAATGAATGAGGGAATTCTACATAATGTTAGCATGCATATGGATTGCGATAAAGTATGAAGATGAAGAATAAAATAGATTTGTGACGATACCGAACGGAGAAGGTCCGTTGCCCATTCGACGCTACGCAAGTGATAAGAAAATTCTACCAAAGTTCCCTTGGGCAAGTGATTGAAGAATTCACCCCGAGCATTCCACATTGCAAGAGTTATGTCGATGCTACAAAAAGTCTTGACTAGAAAATGGCAATAAAAATGATTATCAAATATAAAAAATAAAATAGAAAAAAAATTCTAATCGGAATTCTAAAAGAAATTCTATTCTAAAATATTCTATTAATTTTTTGTCAATTGAGAGGGAAAAAAATTAAACTAAAAGAAAAAACTAAAATAATAAAAGAAAAAAAAATTTAGAAGAGTAAGGGGGTGTGAGCTGAATTCATGGGGTGCTGTAGAAGAATGGCATAAAGGCCAAAACAGCCAGGATCCAATAAGCATTTTTTTCAACATTTTTATTTATTGTTTACTTAATTATTATTATTATTAATATGAAATAAGAATATAAAATAATAAAACAGTTAAAATAAATTTAAAAAAAGTATATGAAAATTGAAAAGGGAATAGGGTTTGAGAGAGAAAAGTCGTTCTCTTCTTCTCCGCAGAACAACACGAACAGTGCCGACAGACACAGCCTCCTCCGCTTCTGTTTCTTCATCCGCCATGCTCAGCTCTCAACCTCAGCTTCCGATCCGGCGCGACCTCTTCTTCTCCAATTGGAACATAACGCCGCCGCGATTTCTCTTCGTCCGGCTTAGACCTCCATCTTGCTCGGTCGGAGTCCGTCTAACGTATCTTCAATGGCGGTGATGATGCGGGAAAACCAGAGAATAATGCTAAGGTGCTCAGGTATGGTTCTTCTCAGATTCTTGATGTTTTCGTTTTCTTCTCGTTCGTTCTTCTCCTCATTCTTCTTTTATTTCGATTATTCACTCTATTTTTGTGTTTCAATCTTGGGCGTGAAGGTTTATAGAGCGATGTGTTGTGTTGATCTGTGCTTCGATGATTGTGGCGATCCATGCTTTGATGGTGAGTCCAGGTTGAAGTCTCGTTGTATTCTTTGAGGAATGTTTGAAGGAGATTCAGGCTTTGATGATCGCGGTGATCCAAACTTTGATGGTGATGATACCAGTTGGGAATCTCGTAGTATCCTTTGAGGAATGTCGATCAGCTTTGATGATTCCGGTGATTCAGGCTTTGATGATCGTGAAGATGATTCCGGCTTTGATGATCGTGAAGATGATTCAGGCTTTGACAATAGCGGTGACTCAGGCTTTGAAGATGGTGAAGTTGATTCAGGCTTTGAAGATGGTGAAGTCGATTCAGGCTTTGATGATGGCGGTGATTCTTCTGGGAAATTGAGAGGTAATCCCCCCTTTTTTTCTGTTGAAATCGTATCTATATAATGTTCCGCCTCCCCTTATGTTATGCTGGAAGTTTGTTTTTGAGGTTAGAAATTCTGTTAGGTGGTTAGGAGGTGGGAAAAAAAGTTGGTTATAGTTAGAAGTTAGGGAAAAGTTAGAAGTTTGTTATGTTATTTTCTGTTGCAAGTCAGTTGTATTCTGCTTGAAGTTTGTTGAGTTAGTTATGGGTAGTTGGTTTATGAATTTGGTTAGGAAGCTGTTAGAATAATTAGGAGGTCAGTTAGATGCTAGGGATCTAATGGTGGAGATAAATCATGCTATGGGTCTGTTTCTATTTTGTTATATACAACTCTGTAAAAGTTAGTTTGAAGTCAGTTATTAGTTTCCTTTTTTGTTAGAAGTTAGTTGGCTGGAATTTTGGTTAGGGGTTGTTAGAGTTTGTTATGTGCAGGGCTGTTTTGGAATTGATAATAACTGTTTCTTTTTGTTGTGTAAATGTTCAGGATTGCTTTGGAAAAAGAGGCATAGACCATGGCAAGTTACAATACGCCGGTTTGGTCATGAAGAAGATAATGAAGATGGAAGCAACAAGGTTGCATTTCAAACACGACGAGGCCACACAAAAAGCGATGATGAGAATCAATATATGCACTTTTAATTGTATTTCTTGTTTTTTGTAGTATATTTTTAGATGTTGTAAATGGTGTTGGGTATTTGGTTATGATATGGTTTTGACAGACTTTCTCCTTTTAAGATTTAAACCCTTTGCGCTTCTACCAGTAACATATGTGAAATCATGCTCAACTGATACATCTGACTTGATTGTTCTTACATTGCCTTTTCCATGCATTAGAGAAATATCTATTATACTAATGCAAAAAAGCACCCATATAATATTTGTTTGTCGAACAACAACTGCAAAGGCTCCAACCTTACCAATGCACTTAACCAGTAATTCTTTTCCAAACTTGCAAGATACATGGCCAGCACAGCAGTAACGGATGCAACATCTGTATAATAAAGAAAAGTGAAGAACCAATGAAGGGGATACAAGGATAGGACAATTGCGTGAAGCATTGCCTTTCTGTCACCGAGAGTTGGTTTCAAGTGAATAATGATGTCATATAGAATTATGCTGGATGCTTTTTCATACTTGTGGTTTGAATTCCAAGAAAAACCACGCAAATATTTAAGAACTTTGATTTTCTCCAAATCCACTTCAAATATTAATGAATGAATTCTAATCAAACTACAGCTTCAGTGAGTCCCTAATTCAATTCAATTTTCCGATCTAAACCAAATTTGCATGTCAAGCAATAAGCATTTGAAATAATGACACCTTGATCACAATCAACATCTTGTACCATGTCCCGACTATATGAGCACTAGAACAACGACGTCTTGGACCCCTCCTCAATAGATGATAATGACTATGCCCTGAGGGATTCTTTGCAGATGAATATGAAAGATGAGACATGCGAATACCTTGATATGGAATGAACCTCAGGTAGAATGCTGACAAGCTCAAATATGAAAATGTATAAACCCTGATTTTTAGCTTCGTCTCATAAAACCTTACAACTTGACATTGAGAAGAAAAGAATAGCATCGTAACTTGATAATGATAAGGTCCATGAAATGAAAACCTAGCTTCAAACAGATTATTAATGGAGAAATCAACCGAAACAAGCTTGTGCGAAGATGGGAGCCTTAAAGCCATACACCAACCCTTATTCCTCGAAATCCATGATCTTATGCCAATTTATCAATCAATGATGCATGATGTGTTAGATGACCTAATGGAAGTATGTACATGCGAAAAGTGCGACAATGCGTAAACCAGATAAAAGTAAAAGGGTAGGAAAAATTTGGGGTATTACAGCTGCCCCTATTTAATCGTCTTAAACCTGAAAGTACGATTGGCGCGTGCCTTTCGGAAGTTCAAGGTGGAAGATGATTAAATACCAATGCCAAAAATTTGTCTTGAGAGAGGGAGTAAGTGTTTTCTTTATTTATTTAATTTGTGATCTGCCGGGGAAAAGAAATTTTTTGTTTATTTTTTTTCAATGAAGAGACAAAGATTGGACTTGTAACGTGGCTTGATGCCAATACAAGACAAATGGTTGGTATGAAAAGACAGCAGACGAGGTCTACGGGCAACCTATGATCCGAGGGTGACACATGAGAGTGATTTGACAGAGGACCTAGCCAAAGGGCGATCTCAGGTTCTAAGACAAAGTATATGGAAAGAACCTAGCCAAAAGGCGATCTCAGGTTCGACGAAGGTTTGAGGGAAGAACCTAGCCAAGAGGCGATCTCAGGTTCGACGATGATTTGAAGGAAGAACCTAGCCAAGAGGCGATCTCAGGTTCGACGATGATTTGAAGGAAGAACCTAGCCAAGAGGCGATCTCAGGTTCGACGGTGATTTGAAGGAAGAACCTAGCCAAGAGGCAATCTCAGGTTCGACGGTGATTTGAGGGAAGAATCTAGCCAAGAGGCGATCTCAGGTTCGACGGTGATTTGAGGGAAGAACCTAGCCAAGAGGCGATCTCAGGTTTGATGGTGATTTGAGGGAAGAACCTAGCCAAGAGGCGATCTCAGGTTCGACGATGTTTTGAAGGAAGAACCTAGCCAAGAGGCGATATCAGGTTCAACGGTGATTTGAGGGAAGAACCTAGCCAAGAGGCGATCTCAGGTTCGACGATGATTTGAGGGAAGAACCTAGCCAAGAGGCGATCTCAGGTTCGACAATGATTTGAAGGAAGAACCTAGCCAAGAGGCGATCTCAGGTTCGACGATGATTTGAAGGAAGAACCTAGCCAAGAGGCGATCTCAGGTTCGACGGTGATTTGAAGGAAGAACCTAGCCAAGAGGCGATCTCAGGTTCGACGATGATTTGAAGGAAGAACCTAGCCAAGAGGCGATCTCAGGTTCGACGATGAGAACATGGGTTATGACATGATGATTGTTTAGATAAGCGACACGGATGAGCATCAAGAAAGTTAAACATGGACGAATGTTTGAATCAATACGGACGAGTATTGAAAGAAGATACAGGTGAGTATCAAAGGTATAAACACGGACGAGTGTTTGATTCAATACGGATGAGTATTGAAAGAAGATACGGACGAGTATCAAAGGTATAAACACGGACGAGTGTTTGAATCAATACGGACGAGTATTGAAAGAAGATACGGACGAGTATCAAAAGTATAAACACGGATGAGTGTTTGATTCAATACGGACGAGTATTGAAAGAAGATACGGACGAGTATCAAAAAGTATAAACACGGACGAGTGTTTGATTCAATACGGACGAGTATTGAAAGAAGATACGGACGAGTATCAATAGTATAAACACGGACGAGTGTTTGATTCAATACGGACGAGTATTGAAAGAAGATACGGATGAGTATCAAAAGTATAAACACGGACGAGTGTTTGATTCAATACGGACGAGTATTGAAAGGAGATACGGACGAGTATCAAAAGTTAAACACGGATGAGTGTTTGATTCAATACGGACGAGTATTGAAAGAAGATACAGACGAGTATCAAAAAAGTATAAACACGGACGAGTGTTTGATTCAATACGGACGAGTATTGAAAGGAGATACGGACGAGTATCAAAAGTAAAACACGGACGAGTGTTTGATTCAATACGGACGAGTATTGAAAGAAGATACAGACGAGTATCAAAAAAGTATAAACACGGACGAGTGTTTGATTCAATACGGACGAGTATTGAAAGAAGATACGGACGAGTATCAAAAGTATAAACACGGACGAGTGTTTGATTCAATACGGACAAGTATTGAAAGAAGATACGAACGAGTATCAAAAAAGTATAAAAACGGACGAGTGTTTGATTCAATATGGACGAGTATTGAAAGAAGATACGGACAGGTATCAAAAAGTATAAAAACAGACGAGTGTTTGATTCAATACGGACGAGTATTGAAAGGAGATACGGACTTGTATCAAAAGTTAAACACAGACGAGTGTTTGATTCAATACAGACGAGTATTGAAAGAAGATACGGACGAGTATCAAAAAAGTATAAACACGGACGAGTGTTTGATTCAATACGGACGAGTATTGAAAGGAGATACGGACGAGTATCAAAAGTTAAACACGGACGAGTGTTTGATTAAATACGGACGAGTATTGAAAGAAGATACTGACGAGTATCAAAAAATTATAAACACGGATGAGTGTTTGATTCAATACGGACGAGTATTGAAAGGAGATACGGACGAGTATCAAAAGTTAAACACAGACGAGTGTTTGATTCAATACGGACGAGTATTGAAAGAAGATACGGACGAGTATCAAAGGTTAAACACGGACGAGTGTTTGAATCAATACGGACGAGTATTGAAAGGAGATACGGGCGAGTATCAAAAGTATAAACACGAACGAGTGTTTGATTCAATACGGACGAGTATTGAAAAGAGATACGGACGAGTATCAAAAGTTAAACACGGACGAGTGTTTGAATCAATACGGACGAGTATTGAAAGAAGATACAGACGAGTATCAAAAAGTATAAACACGGACGAGTGTTTGATTCAATACGGACGAGTATTGAAAGGAGATACAGACGAGTATCAAAAGTATAAACACGGACGAGTGTTTGATTCAATTCGGACGAGTATTGAAAGGAGATACGGACGAGTATCAAAAGTATAAACACGGACGAGTGTTTGAATCAATATGGGCGGGTATTGAAAGAAGATACAGGCGAGTATCAAAAGTATAAACACGGACGAGTGTTTGATTCAATACGGACGAGTATTGAAAGGAGATACGGACGAGTATCAAAAGTATAAACACGGACGAGTGTTTGATTCAATACGGACGAGTATTGAAAGGAGATACAGACGAGTATCAAAAGTATAAACACGGACGAGTGTTTGAATCAATACGGGCGGGTATTGAAAGAAGATACAGGCGAGTATCAAAAGTATAAACACGGACGAGTGTTTGAACAACTGACCCGGGGGGTGTTTAGAAAACTTGACACATACGAGTGCTTAGGGATGGACACGGACAGGTGTTTAGGGAACCGACACAGACGAGTGTTTAGGGAACTGACTACCAGACAAGAACTGGGTTTAGAATGACAAAGTGTATTGGTTTTATTTGGCATTGAAAAGGTGAGGGTCACCGACTGGGGACTTTGGGCATGATACCCTCTTGTAGGGATGTATCGTTGTCCTTGAATAATTCAGGTCTTTGTGTAAGGTACCTGATATGGCTTATACTTTGTATGCATGTTTGAATTTCTTTTGACGCAAAGATCCACTCTGATGGATCAGCTACGCGCTTTTGAGGATGCAATGTTATGTAATGATAACTATATGCAATGCGAAGAAATAAACTTCATGGGGATAAGAGAAGGTTTGCTGGGAACCACTGCTCATCACTGGGGATGTCAATACATATCGATACTGGAAGTCCGTAGTACCAAAGATTGCTGGGGATACTGATAAAGATCTGCAATGGGGAGCCCATAATACCGAATATTGTTGATGACTCTGCTAAAGGCTGAATTGCTGACGAAGCGAGTCTTTAGGTACACTGCTGGATTCTGAATCGTACCGTTGAAGAAAGAGATAATCTGACCAAACCTCCATACATCCCGAACTGTTGAGGGGGTGATAGAAGTGAATATGCCGAAGAATGGATACTGAACACCCTGCGGATCTCTCTGAATACATGTCCCAAGTTTACGCACACTGGGGAATTGTTTCTTGAATCACTTGGGGATAAGAGATGGGAATGGACACCTACGAGTGCCCCGGTTGAACTCTGCGACTGCCCCGGTTTAGCTCTGCGAATGCCCCGGTTTAGTTTTGCGAATGCCTCGGTTTAGCTCTGCGAATGCCCCGGTTTAGCTTTACTGGGGATGCTCTTGATTAACTCCACTGAGGATGCACTTGCACGTGCTGAGTCAAAAGACGATTCTAGACTTTCTGAATTCACTTGGGGAA